AAAAATATATAAAATTAACAAGAATGTATAGAAATATAATTAAATTATTTTCTATTAACAAATAAATTATTATTAATTTCTTTATTAAATTATTGTCTTACATATTTTTATAATATTAAAATATTTAAAAAATATATCAAATTAATAAAATTATTTTTATATTATCATCTATTGCATGTAAATTACATTTGTCATATTACATATATTACAAAACAAAAAACATAATATAATTTATTTAACTTTTTAAATCATTATATGTTAAATTATAATTCGTATTGTTATTAATAATATTAGTAGTATCACCAACTTGAATAAGAATTACGAGATATGTTGTAATCGAACCGATTGCCTAAAAAAAAAAAAAAGAGAAAAAAACAAAATAATTATTATCAAAAAGATTATAATGTCTTATAAACAAACTTACGCTGTATAAAAATGTATGATTCAATTCGAAAAATCCACAGATGGTAAATGTCAAACGATTTTCTAATAATTGAAACATAAAATCACGTATCTGAAATTAAAAATTTAAAAAAACCATAAAAATTACAAATTTAATCAAAAATTTCAATTATTTAAATAAACATTGTTTGTTTACTTACATTGTCACGAAATTTTTGGCTGGTTGATGGCTCGTATAATTCGCATAGAATATTTCCAGTATTCCCAGCATATAAAAATAAAAAAAGTATTTTTATATATACAACCATTAAAAAACCATTCATCAAAAATAAAATCCCTCGAACCCCATAGACCAAAAAAAATTTATGTGTGTATTACCATTAAATATCTTTCAAATGATATTAATAATAAATTAATCCTAATCATCTAATTAATTAAATAATAAATGATATTTATAGTATATTAATTTAAAGTAAATTTATATTTTTAATAATCATAAAAAGTCATATTATTTATTATCAAAAATAAACCCCTGGGCTCCCCCCCCCACACACACCTACACATGCACAGAAACTAATAAATAATAATTATTGAAAATAGCATACTTCTGTTATGGCTTTCTCGCACGTATAGTTTATTAGACAAATTTTGAAAACATAAGCAAAAATCCAATATAAACGTGCATAATAATCCCCTAAAGTATGATTGGATTTGTTTAATATTGTTACATCGTATAAATCATAAAGCAACGTAATTACAAATGATGTTCCTTCCATAATTGATATAAAAATATGTAATCCGTAAGCTTCGTTTAGAATATTACTTATTTTCATCAATTCCAAATGGATTTGTCTTCAATTTGAAAAATAAAAAACAGTATAAATATTAGTATGAATTTTATTAAAAAAAAAAAATTAAAAAAAAAAAAAAACCAACATCAAAGTATAATATTGGATTGTCCGGAAATTTCGTGCCAATTTTGATGGAAGAAGATTGAAATGTTTTGCAATTTAATTTTTTATTCTTGGTATATATTTATTAAATTATATATGAGTGCCATTTTGTTTCTACAATCTTTCTCCATCTTTATGGGTAATTTCAAAAATTTCTGGACTAATTTAAAAACTTAAGAGTAAAAAACTTTTTAGGTTATTTAGCAGCAAAAAACTTTTCAGGTTTTTCAGCAAAAGAAAACTTTTCAGCTTTTTTAGCAAAAGAAAACTTTTCAGGTTTTTTAGCAAAAGAAAACTTTTCAGG